CTTAGATCAAAACTGCTGGTATAGACTTTTGCAGTGATGTGACTCCTTGGCTTGCTATGATTGAGATGCTGTGATGGTTAATTTTATGTGTTAACTTGACTAAGTCATGGTGTGCCCAGGCATTTGGTCAAATGAGGGTCTTTCTGCGTGAGGTTAATTTTTGAATGGGTAGACTGGGTAAAGCAAATTATCTATCTAATGTGGTGGGCCTCATCCAGTCAGTTGAGGACCCAAAGATTGACCCTTCCCAAGTTGGAAATCCTATCAGACCACCTTTAACCTGGGACACTGATTTTTTTTTTTTTTCCTCCTCTTTGGATTCAGAATTGAAACATTGTTTCTTCCAGTTGAAGCCTGCTAGCTTTGGACTACAACTGCACCATTGGCACTCCTGTGTCTCTAGTTTGCCAACTGTAGATCTTGGAACTTCTTAGTTCCTGCCCCCCATCACTAGTAGTAGCATGAGCTAACTCCTCATAATCAATCTCTCTCTCTCAGCTTCGTGTACCTCAGCCTCATAAAGAGACTATGTCCTTGATGGAGTTTAGCCCAAGTCTCTGTTGGCTGAGATGTTCTTTCAGTGATCCTGGTAAGTGCTGACAGAACTAGCAGAGAAATTTCCTTGTAGAAAATTACAGAAATTGGATGATCCCCAAATCTGTGTGTCTGTCTCTGGAAGAATTTCTCAAATAGAATATTTCTGGAATAGAACATTTTTTACATGATTTCCATTTTACATGGAATTCCAAACTCAGTGTGTATAGTAGAAAACTCAGTATCTCCTCTCTCCCCCCACCCCCACCCCCTTTTTTTTTTTTTAAATGGTACTGGGTTCTGAACTCAGGGCTTCACACTTGCTAGGCAGGCGCTCTACTGCTTGAGCCATGCCTCCAGACCTTTTTGCTCTGGTTATTTTGGAGATAGAATCTCACTTTTTGCCCAGGCCAGCCTGGACTGCAATCCTCCTATTTTAAGCTTCCCGCCATCACTGGGATGACAGTTACATGCCACCAGGCCCAGGTTTTTGCCGCTAAGTTGAGATCTTACAAACTTTTTTGCCAGGGCTGACGGGGAACCAAGTTTTGCTGGGGTTGGCCTGGAACTGTGATCCTTCTAATCTCAGCCTCCTGTGTAACTTGGGATGACAGGCACATGACAACATGCCCAGATATTAGTTGAGATGGGGGTCTCACAAACTTTCTGCCCAAGCTGGCCTTAAATGGATCTCAGTCCCCAAGTAGCTAGGATTACAGGCGTGAGCCACTGGCACCCAGCTCAAGCCTCTTTGGCATCAGTAACTTTATTATTATTATGTTTGTTTCATTCATTAGATAAATGTTTAAGGGCATACACAGTGAGTATTACAAATATTAATCATTTACAGATCTCACTGTTAAAGAACTTAGGCTAAAGAAGGAGACTGGATGTGAGTATGAATAAATGGGGTACAAAATAAAAACTCTTGAATGCCACATAAGAAAGTTTATGCAAGACTTTGGAGAAAAGAGGATTTAATGCTTATGGCTGGTTGTGTGGAGTTTGGAGGTATACTGAGAGCATGACTTGGATAGATAAAATTTTTTTTGGTGGCAGCGGGGGGTGGGTGGTTTGTTAATGTCTGAGGTAAAATAATTGGCAGTCTGGCTATCTTTTACCCTTTGTGAATAGAACATTTGAGTTAACTTTCTAGATTCTGTTATTACCTTGATGAATGACTAGTTAGTTATTACAAACTTTTTCTCACTGTCAACGGAAACTCATGACTTGTTTGAAAGGAAGCACCTAATTTATGAAAGGCACAAGAAAAAATGCATTTTTTTATTTAAAAAAAATCTAAAAGTACCTCCAAGAAGATTCAGAATCTGTTTTTAAATTAAGTGAAACATGAGCAGAGTTCAGAGAAAAATGATTGTTAAGGCAAGCAAAACAAGTTTTCTATAGTATTGCTCCCATAAAGGTCACAATGGTGTTTTTCTCATTGTGTCTCTAGGTTTTGCTTGCTTGATTTTTTTTTTTTTTTTGCTCTCGTGCTTGCTAGGCAGATGTTCTGTCGCTTGAGCCACATTCCCAGGCTTTCTTTTTATCAAAGATACTTTTTTTGAGAAGTAGAATTGCATAGTGATAAGTGTATGACTCTGAAACCAGACTTTTGGGGTTGAAATCCTAATTGCTTTAAACACTTATTTTAGAGAATCAATATTAATGAAAATCACTGCTACTTTTTAGCAGTTATTGAAGAATATATGTAATATCGTATTGTTTAAAGGTTTTATGATTTCTATGACAAATTCATCGGTTACATGTAAGTGAATTTTAACTTTTAGAGGGAGCTATGCTTGCAACAAATTAAACTAATGTTTGATTACTTTCTAAACCAGATACAAAGTTCTGTAAAAACAAGAAATTTGATCCTTGTCCTCAAGGAACTTTTCACATTAGGACCTACAGAAAACAGGATGTAACAATATAATGTTTGGTTCAGACTAAGCATGTACAAGTACTGAGACAGGAATTGCTTCATACTGATTAATCATGTAAGGTGTTATAGATGAAGTGCCATTAAAAAAAATTAATAGGTTAAGGGCCTTAAAAAATGAATAGGTTTTTCACATGTAAGGGTAGACTAAGAGGAAGACATTTTAGGTGAAGAGGAAGGTTCAGAGACAGGATAGCCTCATTTGAGTTTTATTAGGAACAGGATATGATTCAAATTAACTGGAACATAGAAATTGAATGGGAAGTTCTGGGAAAGAAGATTGGAGTAGATTGTGGCAAGTTTGAATTGTCAGACTAGAGGCCTTGCTAGGAAATAGCAAATCCCCATTTTTTAGAGTAATAGTCTTATTTGCTACTGTGCTTGCTTGTGTCTATAACACAAGTTAATTGATAATGTGATTGGTAACTCCAGATTGATGTCAGTATAACTCCGAATTGAAGTAGCATTAGTTCAAACATAATCTTTCCCAGCATACTAGCTTTTTGTTTGTTTGTGTTTTTGGTGGCACTGGGGTTTGAACTCAAGGCTTCATGCTTGCTAAGTAGGCACTCTTACTACTTGAGCAACTCTGCCAGCCTGCATGTTAGCATTTTGAACTAATTAAGAAACTATCTAGGTGAGGCTTGGTGATTCAAGCCTATAATCCTCGCTACTTCAGAGGCAGAGATCAGAAGGATCGCGGTTTGAGGCCAATGTGGGCAAAAACTTCAAAAGACCCCATCCCTACCAATGACTGGGTGCACCTCTCTTCCCAGCTATGTGGAGGAGTACAGATAGAATTCCACCAGGCTAGCTCAGGCATAAAGTTGAGACCCTGTCTAAAAAATAACCAATGTAAAAAGGGCTGGGAACATGACTGAAGTGGTTGAGTGCCTGCCTAGTAAGCATGAGGTCCTTAATTCATCCCCAAGTACTGAAAGAAAGAACACTTTCTCACAATTTAGGAGAAAGAGTTAATAATTTAGGAAAGTGTTAAGAAAAACCCTGAAAGTCCTGAAGACGGTCCTCTCTTAGTGAAAATGAGTAACTTCAAGCATGGTTACACATCAGGACAGAATATTGTCCTTGAAAGCTTGTCACAGGTTTCAGCTTGTGGTGTGGAGAGAGGAATAGGGGACTACCTGGAAGAACATTGGGGTTTTGCATGCAAGCCACAGTGCTCCAGGGTAGTCACAATAGAAGGGCATGGTGAGTTGCCAGTCCAAATCCCTGCTTTCTCAGCTGTGTTTCTGAGTAGTCTTTGCATAATGTCGCCTCTCTGAGGCGCACACAAAAAAGAATAGTTACACATCCCACAGTGTTGAACTGATGAAAATGGGTGCACAAAGAATTTATGAAGATGTCTCCCTTTGAGTTAAGAACTTTTTGTTAGTTGGTTGGCTGAGTTAAGACATCTATATTCCCTATCCAATCTTTTATTATTACAGTCAGTCTCGCCTAGAAGTAAATGCCCCAAAGAACTCTTATCTCAAATAAAAAAGCAAGAGCTAAATAGTTTTAAGCTTCAAAGGACCATTATACTCAGTGCAAATGCTAGTGGACTTTCAACTGTGCTAGTATTTTTATAAGAACTTATTTTTGTTTTAGTTTATGGCTTTGGCTCAAGAGTTATAGTGATTTGGGGAGTCTGGCTTAACTCTCTTTTTCCCCAGGAGCCCTGATACTTTTAGTTGTGATTTTTGTAGAATTCTTAGTATTTCTACCCCCCCAGCCCCAAAGATGGATATCACATTCTTGCAGAAAGGACTCTACTATGACTTAAAAGATGGAAGCTTATAAAGTAATTGCCTTAAATTTTCAGTTTAATCAAAATCTTCTTGTGTACCATCACCAGTGAAATCTCTCACAACTCTTGAAATTTATGCTCCTGAAATTTATGTACTGTTCATACTCACTTAGATAGATTCTCACCATGTGTACCCCAGGCTGACCTCAAACTCGTAGTCCTCCTGCCTCAGCCTCCCAAGTGCTGGGATTATAGGCTTGAAGTACCACACTTGGCCTAGCCTTAGCTTTTGAAGTGCTATCAGGATGTTTATATAAGTTTATTAACATAGAGAATGTGCCTACTTGCACCTAAAATCTATCCTCTTACCTAAAATACCAGCTCTTTTCTTGGAATTTGGTGCCTAAATTGAATACATAGAACCCCTGATTTATTAGAGGAGTCCCAAATGGGCTTGAGCTCTTCATTTTAAGACAGAAGATAGTCCTTTAATTTCATTCAGCTGTTAACTTACTGAAGCATTCATTTCAGAAATATTTTGAATGGAAAGGTCTTTAGCATTCCATTCTTATTCACCAGTACAACATGTTTCTAATTTTGAGCGAGTGAAACCAATGAACTTAAAATAAGGCTTAAGTTGGAATTACTTTTATAAAGATAGAAACCCATTAAAGCTTTATCATTTATGTACTTTATTAAGACTAGTTTGTGCTATGCTACCATGTAGCATTTTGGAGATCATTCATTTTTTGAATAAAAACACTTTTTTAATTACAGAAAGATCCAAATGGGACCAGTAGTTTGCCAACTGGAAGTTCTCTCCTACAAGAACTTGAAGTACAGAATGAGGAGGTGGCAGCTTTTTGTCAATCCATTACAAAGTAAGGAACATTTACTAAATTAATAGATTCCTTAAATAATGCTCATTTAAAAAGATAACTTGAGAACCAGCTTAGTTTTAATAATCTTAAATTTTAAAGTTTTGAGTTATTTTCCTCATGTGGCTAAAATTTTGAAGTCAGTTATTGATAATTGACATTACCACAAATTGCAGATGAACCTATATCCTTCACTTTTAGGTCTCTCAATATTTGGAAGGAAAAAAAATTGAGTTCGGGAGATTTCTGATATTCTATTAGCTAGTAAAAATAAGACTTTTATGTAAGTTTCAGTACACTTAGAAAATGTCTACTTTTGTTTTTAGATGAACTTAATTTTCTTATAGACTTTCTAGCATTCAAAATATTATTTAAGGGGTGATGTTATAACAGGCAAGATTAGAAAAGCAAGTATATTTTCTGAGGATGAGAAAACTGCAGTTTTCAAATATTTTTTGTCTTAAGTGTGTCTATTATAGTATTCTTTATAGATGAGAAAACTGAGACCCAGCGAAATAACTTAGCAAAGTTTTCTATGGTAGTCAATAAACAGCCAGGTCTCCTTTGCCTCTGGGTAAGTTTGTTTTCTTTCCTTTATATCACTGTATTAGTTAGAACTTGTGTTACAAGTGCTAGAAACCCATCTTGAACTACCTTAAATCAAGAAGAGTCATGTGCTGGTTCACAGCTAATGTAGCAGAAAGAGGAAGGTCAGGGTAGAGTTCAGTACAAGCAAGATCCAGGAATTCACACTTTGGAAATCATCATCCTCAATCAGACTCTCCTTCCCCACTCTCTCTCCTTTCTTCCTCCTTTCCCTGCCATCCTCTATGCAGGTTAACTTCATTTTCTTTACTATGTTTGGGGCTTTTGAAGACAGGGAACATAGTCACTGAGAGCTTTCTTTTTTTTTTTTTTTTTTGGACAATGTGTCTGTATGTAGCCCAGCCTATACTGCCATATGTGTCTTAGACTTCATATTCTAATGATCTTCCTTCCTAGCAGAGAGAAAAAATGAGTCCTCTTAGTGAGTTAGGTAGAAAAATCCTACAGAAGGAAAGAGTGAAACAGCAAACATTGAAGTTTACCTGATTTCTTAGTTTTCTCCCCCCAACAAACCCTGTATGCTTTCTGTTAGACTCTGTTCACTGGCTACTGTATTTAAGCTTTCCAAGTTGAGAAATTAAACTCTTTATGATGATCTGCCTTTTTCTTTCCCTTTGAATCTTTGAGCTGTTTTCACAAATTCTGCACTGAGCTAAAGTGATTATAGTGGTCCTCCCTTATTCATGGAGAATATATTTCAACACTCCCACTGGATTCCTGAAACTGGACATTACATATATATACTTATAAAATAGGCACAGTAAGTGATTTTTACTATGACAGTCGATCTGATGATCAAAATGTAAGTGATAGATGGGAGAGTAGCATAAACTGTGGATATGCTGTATAAAAGAGAGAATTATGTCTTATATAAGATGGATCAGACACCAAGAAATTTTATCAAGCTGCTCAGAGCTTGAAAAATTTATAAATTGTTTACTTTGGGAATTTTCTATTTAATATTTTCAGGCTATAGTTGACTTTAAATAACTGAAACTGAATAAGGGGTACTACTGTATTTTTATTTATGCATAACACACTAATATATACAGTGGCTTTGTAATGTGAAATCCAAATGGTCGAAAGAGAGAATGAGTTCTTTTTGTTCTTCATTTCCATTATTACAATATGATTGCACCAAATATTAGAGCAGTTGAAGCAGAGGTTTTTTTGGGGGGAATGAGAGCAGTACTGGGGTTTGAAATCAGGACCTCGTGCTTGCTGGGCAGGCGCTCTACCACTTAAGCCATCCCACCAGCTCAGCCAGAGGTGTTTTTGAAGCCATGTCTTAAGGACTTTTCTGTTTCCATGTGACCATGTAGATTTGACACAGATGTCCGTTGAAGAAATTAGTGACATTTTTTTCCCCCACATGATCATTTTTTCCAATGGACTCTAAAAACAAGTATTTATGCTATAGGAGAGACAGTTTTTTTGTTTTTTTTTTTTTTGACATGGCGGGGGGTCTCACTATGTATCCCAGACTGGACTCGAACTTGTGATCTTCCACCATGCCTGGCTTTTTGTGACTTAAACCCAGCTCATGCTCTACCACTGAGCTATATCTATCAGCCCCAGTTCTTTTCTTTTTGGTATCTCCTAAAATTATTCATTCAATCATTTTCAATCACTGTGAAAAGTGTCAGACTGCCAGAATGGAATTTGTTTTCAATTAGAGGGCCATATAATAGACTTAAAAATTTAGTGGCAGTTGTAGGTCTTGGTTTCTGTTATTGTTCTGATTAGTTATTTTTCATCAATGGAATAATTAGACTAGTGATCTCAAGGACTTCTTTCAGTTTAAAGTCCTATAATACTATGATTCAGGACTACTTTTCATTCTGCATTTTTTGGTGGATATTTCTCACTTTCTTTCCTTTCAAACTTACCATAATAAAACCTGCTATATTTACTAGGTATAGGTGGCCAGAGGAAGTTCTTAGAAAAATGTTAAATACCGTGGTTTTTGCTATTTCATTGGTGGTCTGTTAGGTTAAGATGAGAAATTACATTCTGTACCTGTCTGTCTAAAACCACATTCTACACCTTTCTAGTCGCTTTTTTATATATAGTTCAGATCTGACATATATACCCTATAGTATATCTTTTTTTTGTACATACTATATAGAATAATCGATTTCATTTCTGTAATTTCATACATGCATATAATATACTTTGATAATATGTGTTCCCCATATTATAGTATCTTAACCCCTAAGGACTTCCTATACGTTTTTAAAGACTTCATTAATTTATTCTAACCAATGCTTTATTTCCTATAAAGTAGTGTTAATTCAATTAAAACCTTTTAAAATCTTCATTTTTCCCCTCCCCCTTCTTCTCTTGGCCTTATTTCCTGATTTTGGCTGTCTGAACAGAATTTTAGCTTGACTGACTAGTAGGAAAATAACCTACATAGGATTTTAGTGTATAGATAGAGATAGTACATTTCCTGAACTGTAGAGCTCCACTAAACAAACAAAACCTTTTCTTTGGGTGCAAGGGGAATGGAAATTTTAGAGAAAATAAAAAAGTTAAAAAATAATACTCTTTATAGGTAGTTACTTAGAAACATCAAACTACTACAGTGTGTGGTTTAGAGTGGCCATAAAAAGACTTTATCTGGCCCGTTATATTTTAAATTAATTATTTTATCCAGTCAGTAGTTATTAATTTAATGAATTAACACTTTTGTTTACTTGAAGGTTAGTTACAAATAAAACAAGAAATGACTTTAGGAAATCTTTTACATTTCCTAGGTTTTATTTATTGTTTGTAAGTTTTATAAGACAAACTTAGGAGAACAGGAGAATTTGTCAATTTTACAGAAAAAGGAAATTCCTATATTTTCTGGAACTGATAATTTCCATAGTGTCAAGCAAATGCAGAAAGGAATTATTTAAAAATTTCTTGGACTGGGGGCTTGAAGCAGTAGAACATTTGCCAAGTAAGTACAAGGCCCTCAGTTCAATCCTCAGTCCTGGCAAAAAAATTTTAAAAATTTTCTTTGGGGAAGTAACAAATACATAACAAAATTTACCATTTCGACTATTTTTAAGTGTATCGTTCCAGTGATACTGTGCACATTGTGTAAAAGAAAGTATTCACTGAAAACACAAAACAAAACAAAATTGAGGGATTCACACCCCCCCCCCCACGCAAACAAAGCCAAGTTCATGAAATGCAACTTTTTTTTGGTTTAAACAATAGACATTTATTTCTCACAGTTCTAGAGGCTGGGAAGTCCAAGATCAAGGTACCTGTACATTTACTCTCTCCAGAAGACACACTTATGGACTAGCAGATAGACACTTCTTGCTGTGTCCTCATGTGAGGTGGTGAGACAGAGAGAGAGAGATAGTGAGTGAGGGTTGAGTGACACTTTTATCCCTAGAATTTTTTGAATTATTTTTTTCTGAGTTATCGTCATGAATTTCTACTTTCCTTTTGGTCATTTTAATGATTTTTGGAAATTGAAGCCTTCCTTGTGTACAGATAAAATTCTCAACCATTTCATGTATTAGTTAATTTTATGACTTGGTATGAATACCTATTCCAGAAGCTTTAGAAAGCAAGAGAATACCAAGTATGTGAGACATAATCCTAGCTACTTGGGAGGCTGAGATTGGGAGGACCACAGTTCGAAGCCAGCCCAGACAAAATAGTTCATGAGATTCTATCGCCAAAATAACCAAGAGCAAAATGGATTGGAGGGGGCTATGAACCCCCACTTTGCAAGCACAAAGACCTAAATTCAAACTCCAGTACCACAAAAAAAAAAAAAGAAAAGAAAAGAAAAGAAAGATCCTAGGCTGGGTGTCATTAAGTTCTTGCTTCTGTATTATGAACAGATAAGCTTGTATCAATCAAATATTTAAAGGTAAAGTGCCCATATGTGAAGATACAGTTCCAGTATCAGTTTAAATTTGACTTATATTACTTTTTTATTACATTTCTTTATCTCTTTTTAATGTTAGATCCTTTGTTACTTAATATAACAATGCAGATATACTCATTAATTCATTTGATAAGCAGCTTATAATACCATATACTAGGCACTAAACATTCTCACAACAACCCATGAGGTTTAAAGAGGAGAAAACTGAAGCAACAAAGAGATTTGATAACTTGTCTATGTTTGCACAGCAAATTAGTAAAATCAAAATTCAAATTCATATGGTCTAGCTGTAAGGTATTATATTAACTATTGGATTGGTACCTCTGCAGGAACTTTCTTCTTATCATCTCAAACTATTTTACTTGGTATATATAACTAGAATATTTTAATCTCTATGGAAGCAATAGACAGTATTTCCAGTATTCCATTTATAGTTCCATAAAAAACAGGTGAGGGCTAGGGATATATAGCTTTGGCCCTACCTGGGATCAGTCTCTAGCAGGGAGGCAGGGAGGGGGGCGGAAGGAAGGAAGGAAGAGACAGGAGAGAGAAGAAGAAAAGAGAGAGAGAGAAGAAGAAAAGAGAGAGAAGAGAGAGAAAAGAAAGAAAAAGGGAGGGAGGGAGGGAAGGAGATGAGATGAGAGAGAGATGACCAGAACCTGTCTTCCACCCTCCAGGAAAAAGCTACGTGAAGCCCATGAGTTTAAAGATGTCAAATTCCTCTCCACCTCTTGTCTTTTGATACTGTCTTTTGGTGGTAATACTGCTGCCTGAAGATGAATCATATACCACATGTGTGTATTTAAAATTAACTGCATTGTCCTATGAATACCTTTGCATGCAATCCATAACTTTTAGAAATTACTTTGAGAGAATAAAGATTACAGCCTTAAAAAAACCCCGTTTTTTCCCCCCTTGCCTAGCAAACACAAACAATGTTTATAGCAAAAAAGATCATAGGAAAAGAAAGATTCAAAAGGTCAGAAAACTTTTTATCCCTCTGGTCATCATGACAGTTTTAGGACTATGTTGCCTATATTATCAGTAATTAATTTAAAACGTACCATTTTGTGTATACTGTGTAGCAAAAGAGTCTGAAGCAGAGAACCACATTTAGTGCACTTAACCTGCTGTGCACTTTGGTAATGTTGACAGTGTTACCAATGATATCCTGGCAGTAGTTAATCTCTTCCTTGGATTCCTTTCATTTAAGCAGCAAATGCTGGTATTTGGAATTTTGACAGGGGTTCATTAATTGCAGTTCTCATGAGCTGCTCCAGAGTTGGGGAAAGACACAGAATTGAGTGGCTGTAAGCTTATAAAGCCTCATTCAGGGCTCACAAATGCAGCTTTTTGATTAAAAGAGTTTAATATCTTCTTTCTTGTGAACAGATTGAAGACCAAATTTCCATACACTGATCACTGTACAAATCCAGGCTATTTGTTAAGTCCGGTCACGGTGCAAAGAAACATATGTGGAGAAAATGCTAGTGTGAAGGTCTCCATTGAAATTGAAGGCTTTCAACTGCCAGTTACCTTTACATGTGATGGTAGGTTTGTTGCTCCAGCATTTTGTTTTACTTTGATTAGGAGAAAAATGCTTAAAATATCAATAGTATTTTTTTTTTTTTTTGCAGTATTGGGGTTTAAACTCAGGGCCTCGCACTTGCTAGGCAGGTGCTCTACCACTTGAACCACTCTGCCAGCTCAAATATTACCTTTCTTTTAATAAACCAACTTTGTTATTATTTCATGCCTTTTCAAAACATTGACAGTCATATGGCTAGTTTTCTTGTTAAGACTAATGGGGAAACAGGTTACCTTTACAACTACCTATTTCTCTGTAATATGCTGAATTATGCTGATAATCAGTGGTTCATGGCTAAGGCCCAAAAGCATAAGATAGATAGCAAACTTAGATATATACTGATTTTTTTTCTCATTTTATGGCAAGAAAAATACTTGTTTATAAAGAGGTATCAGTGCAATCGAAGTTCCAGATATCTTGCTAATTTTCTCTAAGGAGAATATAATTCTCCTTAGGCTTTAATTTTCCCTTCCAAATCTGCAATGTGTATCCTTTCTAAAGTTGTATCCCTTAATGTCTGTAGAAAAATTTTTTATTACAGTTTGAAAAATGACTTTGATTTTATTTCCATTTATTTATAATGTATGCTATTTTAATGAGATTCCAACAGTGGTACTTTAACCAAAGAATTAGGTCATTTTTTTCTTTAGTAGTTATGACTAGGAATAGTTCCAATCTTTGGATACTTTCTGGCTTTTCACTTTGGAAGGTCTTTTGAAAAAAATGTAACTCTGAAACAGAAAAATGTTAGCGAACTATGATAATCATTCTTGTTTCTAAGAAAGTATGTTTAAAAAGTTATTTTTTAAAAACATAACCTTATATTTTTGCCTAGGAAACATTGAAATTTTACTATGCAGTAAGAATACTAAAATTGGAAGAAAAAAGATTAATTGGCACTTTGAAACAAGCATGAGTAAGCAGAGATAACAAATATTTCAATTTGTATAAAGTTTTATTTATATCAAAATTTGACTCATTCAGGCCAGGCGCAATAGTTACTTGGGAGGCAGAGATTGGGAGGATCACAGTTTGAGACCAACTCCAGAGTGGGTGGGGGGAGATAGCAAGACTCCCATTTTAACAAACTGGGCATGGTGTTGCTCCTTTGTAATCCTGCTACCATGCAGGAAGTATAGATTGGAGAACTGAGGTCTAAGCTGGGGAACAAGCCAGAGGCTTATCTGAAGAATAACCTGGAGGCATGCTCAAGTCTAGAGTACCTGCCTAGCAAGTACAAGGCCCTGAATTCTAACCCAGTCAGAATAATCTTACAGTATTTCAAATGTTTATTTGGTTAGTCACAAATATGCACATTTTTAACATATATTTCTAATGTAATTATGATAGAAGTGGAGTGTGTATTCAAATTAAAAATATTACCATGCATTTGTTTGTTCAAAAATATAGTCAGGCTTGGTGGCACACTCCTGTGATCCCAACATGCAGGAGGATTGTGAGTGTGAGACCAGCCTGTGCTACGTAGCAAGTTCCAGGCCATCGTGGGCTCCATAGTGAGACTCTGTCTCAAAAACACAACAAAAAAATATTGTCATTACATTAGAGGGCAGTATTTTAAATAGAGGCCTCTTCTGGCAAGACATTAATTTTCATGAAATTTGAGTGTAGTCATTGTCTTTCAAAAGTTGAACATAGCTATAAGAATAGAAATAGGCTTTAATTTTTTGGTTTGTTTTTTGACATAAGGTCTTGCTACATAGTCAGGCGTTGCTAAAAACTCACCATCCTGTGGAGTGCTGAGATTATAGTCGTATGTTACAATGCCTGGCATAAAAGCTTTAATTTTAATTTGTTGTATTCTTAGTATCTGGCTTTTTGCTAAGAATGATAAACAATTATGCTTCTTGCTGTATTTTTGTTCTTCATTGGAAAATTCACCAGACACATACCAAATATTTTGTGGTGATTATTTTTCCTTACCATTTGCTTTAAAACATTGTTTGCTAAACTGGGCACTGGTGGCTCACACCTGTAATCCTAGCTGCTCAGCAGGCAGAGATCCAAGAGGATCACACTTCTAGGCTAGCCTGGGCAAATAATTCGAGAGACCCTATATTTAAAATACTCAAAACATATTGAAAATACTCAACACAAAAGAAAGGGCTGGCAGAGTGACTCAAATGGTAGAATGCTTGCTTAGCAAGTGTGAGGCCCTGAGTTCAAATCCCAGTACCGCAAAAAAAACCAAAGCAAAACAAAACAGAATCATTGTTTGCTAGACACTGCTGAATGTCATCCTGTTTGGAGGAATCTGTAGGATGTGGCTTCCTTAGGTTAGACCTGTACATCTTACGTAGTAGCCACTAGCCACATGTGGCTATTGAATGCTTGAAAATGTATCTAATCTAGATTGATGTGGTATAAATGCAAAGTACACACTGGAGTTTAGAGCCTTAGTTCAAAAAAAAGTTGTAAAATGTCTCAATAATTTTTAAATGGTGTTAATATAGCTTATATGTTAGGCTAAATAAAATTAGTTTTATCTCTTTTACTTATTTTCTATGTGTTACTAGAAATTTTTTAATGATATATGTCCCACATTTGTGCCTGCATTTATATTGTACAGAGCTATCTTAGATTCTACATATTACAGTCTTAAATAAATGTATGCTGAGAGATAAGTGAGCAAAATGAAAATGATGACTAATTCTCTTACAGTGAGCTCTACTGTGGAAATCATTATAATGCAAGCCCTTTGCTGGGTGCATGATGATTTGAATCAAGTGGATGTTGGCAGCTATGTTCTGAAAGTTTGTGGTCAAGAGGAGGTGCTGCAGAAGTAAGTTTATTTATGTAGCTACTAAGTAGCATCTTTTTTTTTTTTCTTTAAAATTTTTTTTTCTAATACAGTTTTAAAAAAATTTTTTTTTTGTTCATTTAGTCACATGTGCGTAAATTGTTTGGGTCATTTCTCCATCCTGCCTCCCTCCCCTCCCCTCTTCCCTCCTTCTCCCCTCAGTTCCAGGCAGGTCCTGTTCTGCCCTTATCACTAATTTTGTTGAAGAAAAGACATAAACATAATAAGGAAGACAAAGCATTTTTGCTAGCTGAGTTAAGGATAGCTATACAGAAAGATTCCTAGCATTGCTTCCATGTACAAATGTGTTACAACCCAGGTTGATTCATCTCTAACTGATCTTTACACTGGTTCCTGATCCCCTTCTCATGTTGACCTCTGTTACTTTAAGGTTTCTGTATTAGTTCCTCTGGAGTGGGGACATCAAATGCTTTCATGTTTTGGGTTTTCTACCTATCCCCATATCTCCCGCTATGTGTTCTCCCCTTGTCATGTAACCTAAGTCCTACAACATTGCTGTATTTGCCCTAGACCAAAGACTGCATATGAGGGAGAACATACAATTTTTGGTCTTCTCAGTCTGGCTAACCTCGCTCAGAATGATGTTCTCCAGTTCCATCCATTTACTTGCAAATGATAAGACTTCATTCTTCTTCATGGCTGAGTAAAATTCCATTGTGTATAAATACCATATTTTCTTGATCCATTTGTCAGTAGTGGGACATCTTGGTTGTTTCCTTAACCTGGCTATTTTGAATAGCTCTGCAATAAACGTGGGTGTGCAGGTGCCTTTGGAGTAAGCTGTGTCGCATTCCTTCAGGTATATCCCCAGGAATGGGCTTGCTGGATCATATGGCAGGTCTACGTTTAGATTTTTAAGAAGCCTCCAAATTTTTTTCCAGAGTGGTTGCACCAGTTTGCATTCCTACCAGCAGTGTACGAGGGTTTTTTTTCCCCCACATCCTCGCCAACACATGGTGGTGTTTTTGATGATGGCTATTCTAACAGGGGTGAGGTAGAATCTTAGTGTGGTTTTGATTTCCATTTCCTTTATGGTCAGAGATGGTGAGCATTTTTTCATGTGTTTTTTGGCCATTTGAATTTCTTCTTTTGAGAAAGTTCTGTTTAGTTTAGTTGCCCATTTCTTAATTGGTTCGATTTTAGGAGAGTTTAGTTTCTTAAGTTCCCTGTATATTCTGGTTATCAGTCCCTTGTCTGATGTATAGCTGGCAAATATTTTCTCCCACTCTGTGGGTGGTCTTTCAGTTTAGATACCATTTCTTTTGTTGTGCAGAAGCTTTTTAATTGTATGAAGTCCCATTTATTCATCCTTTCTCTTAGTTGCTGGGCTGCTGGGGTTCTATTGAGGAAGTCTTTGCCTGTACCTATTTGTTCCAGAGTGTTTCCTGCTCCTTACTGTAGTAACTTTGGAGTTTCTACAGGAATATTTAGGTCCTTGATCCATTTTGGGTTGATACTAGTACAGGGTGATAGACATGGATCTAGTTTCAGTTTCTTGCAGATGGGTAACCACTTTTCCCAGCAACATTTGTTGAAGAGGCTGTCTTTTCTCCATTGTATATTTTTAGCGCCTTTGTCAAAGATAAGTTGGTTATTGTTGTGTGGCTTCATATCTGGGTCCTCTATTCTGTTCCAGTGGCCTTCATGTCTGTTTTTGTGCCAGTACTATGCTGTTTTTATTGTTATTGCTTTGTAATATAGTTTGAAGTCAGGAATTGTGATATCTTCATCATTGCTCTTTTTGCTGAGTATTGCCTTGGCTCTTTGTGGTCTCTTGTGTTTCCAAATGAACTTTAGGGTAGATTTTTCAATCTCTATGATGAAAGTCATTGGGATTTTGATGGGAATTGCATTAAACATGTAGATTGCTTTTGGTAGTATAGCCATTTTTACTATGTTTATTCTACCAATCCATGAGCACGGGAGATCTTTCCATCTTCTGTTGTCTTCCTCAATTTCTTTCTTCAGGAGTTTGTAATTCTCCTTGTAGAGGTCGTTCACATCCTTTGTTAAATTTACACCTAGAGATTTGATTTTTTTTGAGGCTATAGTGAATGGAATTGTTTCCATATATTCCTTCTCAGTTTGTTCGTTGTTGGTATATAGAAAAGCCAATGATTTTTGTAAGCTGATTTTATATCCTGCTACCTTACTGTAGCTGTTTATGGTGTCTAAGAGTTTTTGGGTAGAGTTTTTGGGTCTTTAAGGTATAGGATCATATCATCTGCAATTAAGGATATTTTGACAATTTCTTTACCTATTTGTATTCCTTTTATTTCTTCTTCTTGCCTTACTGCTCTGGCTAGAAATTCCAGTACTGTGTTGAATAGGAATGGGGATAGTGGGCACCCTTGGCTCGTTCCTGATTTTAGGGGGAAATGGTTTCAGTTTTTCACTGTTAAGTATGATGTTGGCTGTAGGTTTGTCATATATAGCCTTTACAATGTTGAGGTACTTTCCTTCTATTCCTAGTTTTCTTAGAGCTTTTATCATGAAGTGGTGTTGGATCTTGTCAAAGGCTTTTTCTGCATCTATTGAGATGATCAAGTGGTTTTTGTCTTTGCTTCTATTGATGTGCTGTATTACATTTATAGATTTGCATATGTTGAACCACCCCTGCATCCCTGGGATGAAGCCGACTTGGTCATGGTGAATGATCTTTCTGATGTGTTGTTGGATTTGGTTTGCCATTATTTTATTGAGGATTTTTGCATCGATATTCATTAAGGAAATTGGCCTGTAGTTCTCCTTTTTGGAGGTGTCTTTGTCTGGTTTTGGGATGAGAGTAATATTGGCTTCATAAAATGAGTTAGGCAGTGTTCCTTCCCTTTCTATTTCGTGGAACAGTTTAAGGAGAGTTCTTTAAACATCTGATAGAATTCAACAGTGAATCTGTCGGTCCTGGACTTTTCTTTTTTTGGGAGGCTCTTGATGGTAGCTTCATTTTCTTTTTGTATTATAGATCTATTCAGGTGATTAATATCCTCTTGGTTCAGTTTTGGGTGGTTGTAAGTTTCTAGAAATCTGTCCATTTCTTCAAGATTTTCAAATTTATTAGAGTATAGGCTCTCAAAGTAGTCTCTGATGATTTCCTGGATTTCCGTGGTGTTTGTTGTTATCTCTCCTTTTGCATTTCTGATTTTACTGATTTGGGTTTTTTCTGTCCTCATTTTAGTCAGGTTTGCCAGGGGTCTGTCAATCTTATTTATTTTTTCAAAGAACCAGCTTTTTGTTTCATTGATTCTTTGTATGGTTTTTTTTTTTGTTTGTTTCTATTTCATTGATTTCAGCCCTTATTTTAATTATTTCTTTCCTTCTGCTTGTTTTGGGATTTGCTTGTTCTTGTTTTTCTAGGAGTTTGAGCTGTAGTGTTAGGTCATTGATTTGAGATCTTTCTGTCCTTTTAATATATGCACTCATGGCTATAAACTTTCCTCTTAGGACTGCCTTTGCTGTGTCCCATAGGTTCTGGTAGGTCGTGTTTTCATTTTCATTAACTTCCAGGAACCTTTTAATTTCCTCTTTATTTCATCAATGACCCATTTGTCATTGAGCAATGTGTTGTTCAGCTTCCAATTGTTTGCATGTTTTTTACTGCTGTTTTTGTTGTTGATTTCTAGTTTTAATGCATTGTGGTCAGACAGAATGCATGGGATTATTTCTATTTTCTTATATTTGCTGAGGCTTGCTTTGTGCCCTAAGATATGATCAATTTTGGAAAAGGTTCCATGGGCTGCTGAGAAGAATGTATATTGTTCAACACTTGGATGAAATATTCTGTAGACATCAGCTAGGTCCATTTGATCTGTGGTGTGATTTAGTTCTAGGATTTCTTTATTGATTTTTTTGTTTGGATGACCTATCTATTGGTGATAGGGGGTATTAAGGTCTCCCACTACCACTGTGTTGGAGTTTATATATGTTTTTAGGTCCTTCAGAGTGTGTTTAATGAAATTGGGTGCATATAGGTTGATAATTGCTATTTCCTTTTGGTGTATTTTCCCTTTTATTAGCGTGGAGTGTCCTTCTTTATCTCATTTGATCAATGTAGGTTTGACGTCTACTTTGTCCAAGATAAGTATTGCTACCCCTGCCTGTTTTTGGGGATCATTGGCATCGTAAATCTTCTTCCAGCCTTTCACTCTCAGCTGGTGCTTGTTTCTGTCGATGAAGTGGGTCTCCTGTAGGCAGCAGATGGTTGGATCTTCCTTTTTAATCCATTTTGCCGATCGGTGTCTTTTGATGGGGGAATTTAGTCCATTAACATTCAGTATTAGTATTGATAAATACGTGGTGATCCCTGTCATGTAGTTGTCTTTGTTGATTAAGGGTTTGATTTTGTGTAACTGAATCAGTATTACTCTTTACTTTCTTGCCTTTTCTTCTCCTGTGGTTTGGTATTGCCTGCCCTTTCATGGTTTTGTTTGCTTTCATTTTCTGTGTGCAGAATTCCTTGGAGAATCTTTTATAGTGGTGGCTTGGTGGTCCTATATTGTTTTAGTTTCTGCTTATCATGGAAGAATTTTATTGTTCCATCTATTTTGAATGATACTTTTGCTGGGTAGAGTATCCTAGTATTGAAGTTATTTTCATTCAGTGCTTGAAAGACCTCACTTGATGCTCTTGCTTTTAATGTTTCTGTTGAGAAGTCTGCTGTGATTTTGATGGGTTTACCTTTGTATGTTATTTGTTTTTTCTCTCATGACAGCTTTCAATATTCTTTCCCTAATCTCTGTACTTGTTGTTTTAGTGATAATATGTCGTGGGGTAGTTCTATTTTGGTCAGGTCTGTTCGGTGTCCTGGAGGCTTCCTGTACCTGAATGGGCTTAGTTTTCTCTAGATTTGGGAAATTTTCTGTCATCGTTGAATATATTACGCATTGCTTTTGTTTGTACCTCTTTTGTTTCTTCAATGCCCATGATTCTCAGGCTTGGTCTTTTGATGGAGTCAGTGAGTTCTTGCATTTTCTTTTCACAGGTCTTGAGTTGTTATTAACTAATAGTTCTTCAGTTTTTCCTTTAATTGCCATTTCATCTTCAAGTTCTGAGATTCTGTCTTCTGTTTGTTCTATTCTGCTGGAATGGCCTTCCATTTTGTTTTGTATTTCTGTTTCATTCTTTTTTCTTAGGTTTTCCATATCGTGGGTTACTTCCTCTTTAATATTGTCAATTTTTGCCCTTAATTCGTTTATCTCTGTGTTTATGGTGGTCTCAGTTTCAGTTTGGTGTTTCTTTAGGGCTCCTATGATTTCATTTATTTGTTGTTGTGTTTTCTCATATTCTTTATTTTTGGTGTCTTAGAATTTCTTGAGTGCCTCCTGTATGTTTTGGTTGACCATGTCTAATAACATCTCTATGAAATTCTCATTAATGACTTGTAGGATTTCTTCTTTCAGAGTGTTCTTGTGGGCTTTGTCGGGTTCCTTGGTATAGTTTATCTTTGTTTTGTTGGAGTCTGGATCTGGGTATCCATTTTCTTCATTTTGCTCTAAATCCCAACTACTTTATTTTTGTGAAGAGAATGGTTTCCCTCCCTTTTTCTTCTTCCCATATTTCCACTAGGTACCGTTTCTATCTCTGGACTATGTGTAATTTTGTATTAGCTGGGTAACAATACTCAGTCAAGTGTGTCTCCAGCTTCTCAGTAAAGTCTCTGGATCACGGAGCTCAGGAGGTGTGCAACTGTGTCCCGGTTACCATCTTGGATCCTTCTCTCTTTTGTTTTAAAATTTTTTTAATTCAGTTATTCACATGTGCATACATTATTTGCAGGTAGCATTTTTTAAAATTTCATTTTTAACTGCTTAAATTCAAAATTTTTCATTTAAATTTGTGATAAAAAATATATGGGGTCCTACTGAATTGATTCATCAAATCAATGAATTGAGATATGCTGTGCCTAAATGGTAGGATTTCAGAGATAAGACATGGTATTCCCATAAGAAATTTATCTTATATGGGAAGAATTGTGGACAAGTGATTAAAAAGTAAATATAATTTTTTTCTTTCTGTAAAGAATTAATAATCATGTCATTGTAGACTCCATTTTTCTTTTGTAGCATGCACTGTTACTTTATGCATAGCAGTCAGCAATTATTTAATATTTTACTTGATATAATCACTATAGGAATCTTTTAATCATGTATTTTAGTATATCTAGCATTTAATCCAGTTGTTTTACAGATTTTATTCTCCTAGACTACTAGAAATGTCCTGTCTTTATTTTTCTTATTTCCTTCTTAATTTTTGTCTTCATCTCCTTTCTTTTTCACTTTGATGCTTCTCGTATGAAATGATTCCTCTGTTTAAGTGCATATACTTTGTTTAAAAAACTGTTTCTGGCCAGGAGCCAGTGACTGATGCCTGTAATCCTAGCTACTCAGGAGGCAGAGCTCAAGAAGATCTCAGTTCAAGGCCATTTCACAGCCAAATAGTTCACAAGACTGTATCTCAAAAATACCCACACAAAACAGGGCTGGCAGAGTGGCTCAAGTGGTAGAGCCCCTACGTAGCAAGCATGAGCCCTGAGTTCAAACCCCAATATTGCAAAACAAAACAAAACCCATCTTTGATTTCTGATACAGGTACAATTTGTATTTTACTCTATTTCTGTAACTTCTAACTTGAATAGAATAGTATTTCACTCTTATCTCTATAACTTCTAACTTGAATAATGGTGAATAATTAATGTATTTTAACAGTAATCATTGCCTTGGAAGTCATGAGCATATTCAAAATTGTCGAAAATGGGACACAGAGATTAAATTACAACTCTTGACCTTCAGTGCAATGTGCCAGAATCTAGCCCGAATAGTAAGTATATGTGTACCTTAAAACTGAATTGCATTTGGTGGATCTGAATAATTCTGCTAATTAGACAATTTTTAGTTTTCATATGTCCATGATTTTTGGGTTGGATTGGGAGGGAAGCACTAGTTATTCCCAATGAGATTCTTCTCAGTAGATATAGAAAACTTTCAGTCATGGAGGTTTAGGTAGCATACTCCTCAGAGCTAGAGCTATATTTGAAAATCAAAGTACACGAATTAAAAGTTTGATTTTTAATAATTGTACACAAGAGTGGAAATGCTTGCTCAAGGAGGAATGAGGAAGAAAAGTTTTTTGGGTTTTTTTTTTTATGGCACTGGAGTTTTACTTAGGGCTTGATACTTGCTAAGCAGGCCCTCTACCACTTAAGCCATTCAGCCAGCCTTATTTGTGATGGTTCTTTTTTTTTTTTTTGAGATAGGGTTTCCTGAACTATTTGTCCAGGGTTTCTCGAACACTTTGCCCTTGATCCTCCTGATCTTTGCCTTCTGAGTAGGTAGGATTACAAGCATGAGCTGCTGGTACCTGGCTAAGATTTTTGAATATTAAATATGGGTTGGAGAAATGAAGGATTAATATTGACCTTTGCAGCAAACTGATAAATTATTTCTCACAAAATGGAAACTTTTATTCTCTGTTTTAAAAGTTTAGTAATTTCTTCTGCAGTTAAGACAAAATAGAATGCAGGAAACTTAGTCATTGTAAAATAGTAAAATCCACTTTGCTTTTACTATAAACCATTGATAAATTTATAAATGAATGTTTAATCTCTAAAGAGAATTTTTTCATTTGTTAGAATGTTTATGGAAAAATAATTTCTACTTTATTTTTTCTTTGTTTTCTGGAATTTTGTTACCTATGTTAGGAAGAATTTCAATTATATGGAACTTTCACAAAATACAGTATATTTTGGCAATCATTGGTAACTTCTTTTTCATTTTGTAAGGAATGACGTTCTTGAGTACATTTGCCTAAGGTGGAATGATAGAAGAAACCAGTAGCTTATTTATTGGGGGTCAGCAGGAGGAAACTTGATAAGTGTCAGAAATGATAAAACAGAAATTCACATGACCTCTTCCCCATTTGGCGCCCACCCTGGTTTGTTCTAAGAGTTATTAATGATAACAGAAACTAGACTTAAAAGAATTTATGTATTCCATTTTAAAAAATAAAAGCTTTTTTCACAATATTCACTTCTGAATCAATTATGTTTCGATAGCATTTTATCTTTAGCTTTAAAAATTTACTTTAGTTGCACAGTTTCATCATCCATTTAACCATATTTAATTTGACAATAGGAAGACTATAAAGAGTGGATTTGATTTTTTGTTTCTTTAGTAAACACTTGTGTGTATGCTTGTTTAGGCAGAAGATGATGAAACCCCTGTGGATTTAAATAAACATCTGTATCAAATAGAAAAACCTTATAAAGAAGTCATGACAAGGTATAGCATCTACAACATTACTTTTAGATTTTCAAACTTTATTTTGGATACAAATATTTTTATTTTGGTCAAACAATCATTTTTGCATATAGTATTATTTAGTCACAATAACTGTTCTTTGTTTTAGACATCCTGTTGAAGATCTCTTAGATTCATATCATAACCAAGTGGAACTGGTTCTTCAAATTGAAGTAAGCCTTGATTCACATTTTGGCATAATGATCTAGAGATTCTTGTTTCTGTTTTCTCTTAAATACTAGTTTTGGCATTGAATTAAATATTTCAAACTATATTCTTGGAGTTGATATGATGTCTTGTTTTCTGACCTAATTTATTAACAAACATTCTCAATAATGTTTTAGTCAACATGGTAACTCTTATTTTTACCTTCAGTGGAAACCTTCAGTTCTAATCAAAAGGCAGTTATTGAATGTTTACTATATGCTAAATGGGTGAAGTTAAAAAATGAATGACCTAGTCCGTGTTAAGAGGAACTAAAAAACTAGTGATGGAGGATTTAAACAAAATTTCACTACAGTACTATAAGTAAAGTGTAGATATATGCATTTAGGTTCTTGGGAGATCAAGGAAGCGTACCTTACCCAATTTAAGGTTTTATGGAAGGCCTTTTAGACAGGTTGTTGCCTGGGCCAACTCTTAAATGGTATGAACTAGTCAGAAGAAAGTTGGGAAGGCATATAAACAAAAGCATTCACATGTGATACTTATGTGGAAGTATAGCAGTGTATGTAATAGAGTATAAATATGTAAAGAAGATGGGGAGATAACATTAGCGATATCTATTTTTTTTTTTTTTTTTTTTTTCATTTCCCAAAGTTTATTTGTCCATAGACTCTTTTATTCACAAAACAGTGTTAACAGCTCTTGAAACAAAATTCATAAATAGTTTAGGTTAAAGATTCTTAAAAATGAACAGTTGTCTTCTAAATGTTCACATCAATACATTTGGGAAAACTGGATTGTGTTGCTGCCATTTTTGAACTTTTGAAACCTTGGTCATTAAAACGAAAGGATATAAAGCTTGGGGAATTGGAGCAAATTTTCTTACTTGTTACATTATTAACCATGTGAGACCTAACAAACACTGCTCTGGATTAGAATAATGGAGTAAAATGAATGGAAATGAGGTTCCCTAGCAACTTATTGCACAATCATGATATTCCCAGGTCTGTCCACCAATTCATTCATTGTATGCAAGGTCCTGTTTCCCAACTTTTTCATTCACACATGCAAGCAGAAACCTCATGGGCTGCACTCCCTAGCTCCATAGATTTTGAGATCCTCATCTAGCATCATGGCCCTTTATTATTACATCTAGAGACTTAAACCTAGAATGTTAGTGTTACCCTTTTAGATAAACAGAAAATTTCCAAGACTAAAGGAAGAAATGACATTTAAAAATTATAGGGAAAGAAAACAGGAAAAAATTTCAAAACAAATACTTTGAAACTATGAGGAAAATTTTAAAAAGGAAGTTAGTCTTACAAAAACATTTGGTTACTGAAGATTTGTTGCAATAAGCAAGACAAGATGAAATAATAAGAAAAGGCTGCCCTGGCAATATTGAAAATGTTAGGGTTGCAAAATTATAGTTAGTGTCTTATAACATTATTCACAGAAGGGTGTAGTTCAGGCCTGAAACATCATAGTTCCTAAGAATGTGCACTGAGGAAGAATGCACAGCTCATTAGTTCTACAATTTGTACTTGTTCCTGTTCCCCACAACCATGTTTACTATCTTTACTATGCTTTTCAGGATCTATCAGGTATTTGAGTGAGTAGCTAAAATACTGTAATCAGAATGATGTATCTTCTGTATATTAATAAAATGGCATTATGTCTCCTACCATCTAAGTTCTTACCAAACCTGGATAGCTGACAAGCTAGTCCCTAGACCTGATCATACCATAATCCTGGTTTTTTTTTGTTGTTTTTTGCAGTACTGGGTCTTGAACTCAAAGGCCTTCACCTTGAACCACTCCACCAGCCCTATTTTTGTGAAGGGTTTTTCGAGATAAGGTCTTGCAAATTTTTTGCCTGGGCTGGCTTTGAACCATGATCCTCCTGATCTCTGCCTCCTGAGTAGCTATGATTATAGACATGAGCCACTGGTGCCTGGCTCTTAATACTTTCTTGAGCTCCTTGTGAATAGTACAATTACACTGTGGATAAAGAAATTTGAAACACCATGTCTCTATTATTCTGTATTTTTGCCCCTAAACCAACACTTCAGAAAACGGATTCATCAGTTCTAAATAGCAGGTACCTGGTTAAGGAATCTCCTATAACTTACCCAAAGAGACTTCACTCAATTATACATGTATTTTCATGGCCATTTGGAGATACATAAGTTACCACCTTGTAATTCTTGTTAATAAGCCAGCCATACCTATTTGTTCATATTGTTTATTGCCTCTTACGTTTATACTCCAGTACTATAGTTGAGTAGTTGGAACAGAGAGACTGTATGGTTTGCAAAGCTGAAATTATATATTTTTTGACCTTGTATAGAAGAAGTTGGCTGATCCTTGACCAAAAAGTTGGCTGTAGCTAACCTTAGATGTTTTTAACCAAGAGTGGGTAGTAGGGTGGGTGGGTGACTTGTTTAGTTCTATACTCTTGAAATCACTTCCATACTGTGGAAGTTAGAGTGGCAGAACTGATTTCAGGGAGATGACTTAGGAAGAACTTTTTAAAAACATTTTTCTTAGCATATATTAGTTGTACAGGGAGTTTCATTGTAACATTTCCATGTATGCTTACCTTAGGTTCATCTTCATTATCATTCTCCCTCATTCCCTTCCTCCCTACTTAAAAATTATTTCAGTAGTTTTCATTTTTAAATTTTCATACAAGTAAAGTACATCAACCATATTCACTCTCCTTTTCCCCTCTCCATTCACCGTCCTCCTCTCATTAATACCTACTCCCTAACAAGACCTGATTTACATTTCTATCCTTCATTATTTAAGTATATATTCATTGTTCAAAGGGTTCTTGCCATGGTATTTCACCTGTGAATATATTGTACTTTAATCAGATTAACCCCCTTTATTACTCTCCCTTATTTCTTCCTCCTGTTACTCAACAGCTTTCAGTGCATGTCATCATGTGTTCTTCCTACACAGATGCAGTGTATTTCAATATTACTCACTCTCCATCATTCTCTTTTCTTCTCCCTCAGGAAGGACTTTTATAGTAGTTCAGATGAAAGATAAATGAGCATGGTGAAAGTGAAAAAGAGGGAACTGATTAACAATATTTGAGAGGTAAATTGAAAGTATTTTGATAGGTGATATAGTTTGAGAGAAGAGTGTAGGATGACCATATTACTAGTTCATTCTTAGCATTAAAACATTTATTCAGTAAATAGTTACTGAGTATCTCCTCATTGTGAGGCAGTGTAGGTACTGAGGATATGACAATGAAACAGCAAAAGAACTCCTTGCCCTCAGAGAGTTTACATTCTAGTTGGAGGGGACAGACAATAAAATAAACTAACCAAATATATCAGGTGTTAAGTGCTATACAGGAGGAAGGTGGTTTCAAATAAGGTAGAGAAGGCCTTATTGACAAAATAAATTTGAGTGAACAAATAGAGGAGGAAGAGAGGGGAGAAGCTGTCTGAATGAGTGAAGGAGTATTCTAGGAAGAGAGAATAGTAAATACAAAGGCCTAAGGAGGGAGTATGCCACATACATACAAAGTCTGCTAGGCCTTTGTAGCTGTAATAGAGTGAGGAAGAGGGTAAGAGTAGAAGCACATCAGTTAGGAAGGTGTTGATGGTTTGGATTAGAGTGACTGCAGTAGAAGTAGTGAGAAGGGGTTGAATTCTGGTGTATGTTTTGAAGTAAATGCTGGAAGGATTTATCCACAGATTGGATGTGGAGCACTGGAAGTTTATAGTTGCCCATTAGTGAGATTTGGAAAACTGAAAAGAAAGGTTTGAGGGGAAGATCAAGAACTCAATTTTGGGTTTTGTTTGTTTAGACACATTTTCACTATGTAGCCCAGGCCAGTCTCAAGACTCACAATCCTCTTGCCTTAGCCTCCCAACTGCTGGGATTATAGGTCTGTGTCACCACATCTGGCTTGGGTTTTATGTTTGACAAGACTATTCATCCAGAGATGTTGATTAGACAGTTGATATGAATCCAGGATTCAGTGCAGAAAGTCCAAGCTGAAGATAACTAAACTTGGGAAGCATCAGCCATAATACTTAAATAAGAATACCAGAAAAATCATTGCAGGTAGAGAAGAGTTAACCCATCTTAAAACACAAAAGTACACATAATCTTGCATCAACCATACCACTTCTTGATTCTCTTGTTTTTGCTACTTCCATTTCCTTTCTTCCCTCCCTTATAAACCCACACCCATCAAGCTTTCATTATTAGTGCTTCCCTGAAATTGTGCTTACTGAGGTCATCAAAGACTTCCTCGATCTTGAATCTCATAGTAAGTTCTTACTCTTTATTTGTCTCACCGTTTCGTAGTTCTGTGTGTGTGTGTGTGTGTGCTTCTTTAAAAAAAAATTTTATTTTGAATTGATAATCTTACATAGTTTTGTGATACAGTGTTTACATTTTGTATACATTTTTGTAATGATCAAATCCTGGTAATTAGCATATCTGTCTAACATTTATCATTTTCTGATGAAAACATTCAAAATCCTTGTGACTATTTTGAAATATGTAATACATTGCTAGCTATAGTCACCCTACTGTTCATAGAACACTGGAACATGTTCTTTCTATCTTTCTGTAATTTTTGATGCAGCTGATTATCAAGACACTTAGCCTCTGAGATATCACCTTCCTGATTCTCCCACTCTCATTTGTGGTATCTTCTTTATGTCCTTATCTTCCTGACCACTAAGGGTTGTGTACCCATAGGGCTCAGTTCTAGGACCTCTTCTCTCTATATTCACATCCTTGGTGATCTTGTGATACCCTTATCCTGATGACTCTGAAACTTATCTCCAGCTTTGCCCTTTGTCCTCAGCTCTAGACTCGTATCTATTACTTGGTATTTTTATATGAATGTCTAATTAATGAACATTTCAAATATATGTAACTAAATTTTTTACTTTACCTTCCTATATATTCATCACTTTTCCTTTTTTTAGGACTTTATATTTTAAGAGAGATTTTAAATTCAGAGCAAAACT